ATTGTACAGTGGCATTTAGTGCCGAAATGTGCACCTCTGCCTACCCCTTCGGGGATAAAATGGCGTGATGTTATGTTATGTTATGACTATATCTTTTCGTTGAATGTCAGTCATATATCATTCATATGTTTATTAGACCACAGGAACGTGCTTTTGGTTACAATCAGTTAACGAACTTGGAACTAAGTACGTCGAGTTTCTTTTTTCAATCCTAATTTCATTTACAGGGCTTGTCTTTGATACCTAGGTGGGAAAAAGTGTTACTATGTTTTTCCGTAGTGGCATTATCAGTAATGAAGTTTTATAAAACCTAATCTAGATAATCACCGATAGTGGTGCTTAGAAAAAGACTGAACGTACTTCAGACCTTATTGCATTAGAGTTAGCTTCCTAACTGTACTGGAACAATACCAGACAGAGATTATTATGGCAAAACAAACTTTATTACTACAATCATATACTAATACAAATAAAACAACGCGTTTATGCAGTTAACATGATAAATATACACTACAAATGTGTTTGCAATTTTTCTTGAACCCCTACGCAGGAGGGTTCGAACCCACGTAATGCGTTCTTTATTGCCCACGGTACCCAAACGGCAGCAGTTTGGGGTCCGTTCATGTCACTAATCTGTAAATGTAGTTGTTGGGGTACTTGGTACCTTGTGGAGTGATGCTGGGTTACGATCAACTGATGTTTGCTTGAAATTGAGGGACGAGTTAGCTTATGAATGACCCCTTCCCTTGGTCACGACATCAATTCAAGATTTGATAATTATTCATTCGTTGATAGAAAATCTTGTGGTGAGAGAAAATTGAAGCACATTTGGCTTTTTAGGCGAGTGACATAAGTGACAGAGGCAGCAGCAACAGTCTTTGATAAACCTGAATCTTCTAAACTGTGATCTTTAACCTGCCCACAAACGAGAAGATAATGACAATCCCTTACCCATAGACACAAGACGATCACGAGCGGCTGATGTAACTAGACTAACTGATCTAACTAGACTCAATCATCACCTATAAAAAGACTTTACTGAAGTTAGTCTTTTAGTCGAATGTTGATTGGGAGATCATCACTTTCGTCTTTAGAACTGGATTCTGCGAGTTTTTTTGGATCAAAACATGATGTTCATCTGAAGTTAAAGAAAACCTCTGTTTTCTTCAACGCGTTTGACAATTTGACTAACATTTGACATAAACTGTAACACTAACCAGAGAAAGGTGAGCGGTTAAGAAACGTATAAAGTTATGACGTCATTAACTGTTTGTCAAATG